CCGCACAAACAGCCAAATGCACGTCATATGCTAGCACCAACTGCACTGCCGACACTTCAAACACCGCACCTGAAGCGGCGCATCAGCATGCCACCGTTCACTCCACGCGCGGCCCTCGTATTCCGCACACCCATTTTTCTGCGTCCCATCGCCACTGAGAACCGACCAAAACGTCCTCATCAACACGCATAGCGGATGCTAGTACGCCGTTTCACTCCTAACACCACAGTCGTGCCAAAACCTGCACTCCACACCTACATTCTGAAAAGCATTAAGCTCATCCCACACAATCCGCGCACTTGCATACGAACATATTCGCCCCATCTTCGACGCGCAAGACGCCTCGGATCAGCAGATGCTCACACAGACGTCCCGCACCCTGACCTTCGAAATCGGACTATGGTTTGCCTTAAGGGCTCTGCCAGCGCCTACGCCTAAGACACGTTTTCACGCATCATTGCGCAGGTGGCCTGTCGGTAGTTTCGCTTAAAGCTGTGTGGTTGGCGAGCTGCTGTTTGTAATTTATTGCGGTTCAAATGTTACGACAAACGCTTTCGTACAATCTGCGTTGGTGTGGGTTCCTTGATTCCTTGGCACCCTAGTGTAGAATGTTTTTTTATCACATGTTCTTGCTGCAGGGATTTTCCACAGGCACAACCGGTGTAGATCCTTTGCGTAGAAACGTGTATCTGTTGAAGCCGCATAATTCACTCTCAGAAATATCACTATCAAGTAATGAAGCGTTTAAGCAAATTAACACCTGGTCCGTCATGTCAGAATACCAACCAGCAGCATCGAGGCAATCAAGTTGTTCAGAGTACGAGTGTGACTGGCTCATGCAACATTTTGTCAAAATTTACGTTATACCAAACAGAACTGAGAGTTGCCTGGTCGAACGCAATGCTTTTGTAAAGTCAGCTTGCTGGCGTTCGATCACGACAAAAACACGCGTAACGCTTCCAGAAAAGCTCACGTTAGCAATGTGCGAGCAAAATGCGCATTGTGTCACGGCATCCTCTAATGCTTCCATAATCACCGTCAGGAAATTAACTTCACTTTGCAACAACGATGCCGTCGCTGGAAGCCCAGTCGCAACGCACTTGTTTGCCCTTCTTGAATACGCGTGACGTTGGTTTCCTATCTTCATCATCGAGCGTGCAGTCGCCCCGTTTTGGCTCCTGCTTAAGCTAACGTCGGTGCAATCCGCCAAAAGCACTCACTGTGTCGGTAGCAACTTCAATCCCAGCACGCCACACGGCGCACCTGGTTCGTCACATCGGCACGATGCATATCAGTAGACACAGGATCGCCGCATTCCTCAGAGCATTCTTTCCACTTCGTATGAGCTTTGCCAAGTAGACCGTGCTAGGGTCACAAAAGCGGAGTGCTAGTATGCTGCTTTGCGACGAATAGCCCACCCCTGTCATCATTGGCAACCGACACATACCTCCTTAAGACGTTTAGTCTAACTGTAACTAGATGCATGCAGTTAGCAATTCAAATGCCTTGCCTGTGAATCGTGACATGCTGACTTCGCGTGTGGAGTGCACAGAAGGAACTTTATTTTTGCCTTGGCAAACGTGCCATCTAGAATTAGCAGAGCTGTATGAAGGCCAAAGTTGCAAAAAGCTAGCGTGGTTCGTTTCAACCCCCACATACGTCTATGAAACGGATTCCCTGCTAGACCAGCACCCTACAAATCCACCATGTTCGCTCTCAAACCCTGATTACGTATTCGCAACACTGCCAAACGCATCAACAGACCTGGTTTGCAGCATGATAAGCCACCCGTGCTTGCCGGCAAAGTCGTGTGCTCTTTCGCTGTTATCTTGCAGTAGTTCATCCAAGGTACGTGCAACTCTACATCGTTCACAGGCATTCGCGCAAGGCCCGTACATGTGCCTCGCCGTGTTCGGCAGCACAACTGCTCGGCCCATCTTGTATTTGCAAGAGATTCACACATAAAGATAGGTTTCAAATCAATTCCGGTAATTTCCGTGCAGGCTCCGCAGTACCCCAGGTATGCTTGTAAAGTGGATGGCGATATGATTACTTCACTTCTCAACCGGCCAGCGGCTGTTCACTTGGCCACATTTACCTCACAGCTGCAAAATCAGACGCCATTAGCGCCTGTTCATCTCACCATCTGTGTATTTGTTGTCGTTACTCCGCTGTAGCGCCGCCAAGCAGATACGCACTGCTGGGCTGCCTCACTTGGACAGTCCGCTCATCTGATATTTTTATCTGCTGTGCTTGTTCCCTTTACGAACGTCCGTTGCTGACCAAGCGCCACATTATTTTCAAATGCCTAGTCTAAAGTCGTTTGTTCAGCCATTATATTGCTGACACTGTATCCTTGAGCAATAACTGCTCGGATGATGAGAGCACGGAAGGTAGTTGCCACACCTTTAACACACTTAACGCATGCATTAGTTCCCTTGTCTACGTAAAAGCCTCCAGAGCACATACTAAATTTTTCGAGAACCAGCTGTCTCTGATTGGTGGATGCACGCATATTAAGGCATTAGAACTACGTAAACAGCGCAGTGCTCTGCTCACCAGCTTTCTCCATATGGTACTTTCTCAATAGTGCCCTTGATTAAAATTGGATTCGCTTCAGGCAGGCTCTTTTTCACCTAGTTCGCCACCGTTCGCTTGCAAAATTGCTAAGCAGCCCAATACATGCGTCTTGTTTCGCCGATAAACCTTCAGGCTCCTGAGGAAACGGTTTTCTTTACGCTGCACCTGCCAATTGCATACACATACTTCCTGCCGGCGTTTGCCTTTTACCAAACGCAAAGAAAATAGCATAGCTCGTGCATTTGAGTTCATCCTGTATACTGCATCATTAAGACCGTCTCATGCCCAAGACACATGCATAGTTCGCGCACTTGAATTCCCCCTGTATACTGCGCCGCCGACGTGGTTGAGTAGCATGATTTTGCAGATGAGCGTCACTCGCCCTTCCTATTCAAGCACGGAATCCTAAAGTTAAATTAAATGCAAACCGTACGATCTGTGTAGCTCATGCAAAGAATAAGGGGAGACTTGTTACTTCTTTTCTTTCCACATGCAATCATTGGTAAGGGAAACTGGCATCCATGTTTCTAGCAGATATCGCCAGGAGATCTAGGGAAGCCTGCAATTTCATGCACGACTCTACTGAAGGCATCAGTGAATGCGAGGTTGTAGGCAGCCGTAGGCACGGCCTTGTTTGTTTAAGCTCAGAAGCAAAAAAAACATTTGGTTACTCGTGCGAGTATTCCACTCACAGTCTGGAGAAAATTGTTTACTCGCCGCTGGCACTCTCCAGATGCTCATGCTTACTACTTCTACAGGCCACGCCCTACACTAAAAGAGATGCACACTGCGTTCATGTCCTATCTTCGTGTACAGCGCTGGCATAACACTATTTACATTCTGTACTGGCATTTAAGAAAGGTGTGAAACCCTAAAAGCACCGACCTTTAAACCTGTCGCGCTATATCTATTTCAAATCGTAACACCGTGTCAAAGCATGCAAAATAGGTTAACAGAAATGCAGTACTTTTTACATCGTGATTTTCATACTTTAGATGTGGATCCTCACCACAATGTTTCCAGCTCGTCGCCTAAAACCACTCTTCAAGATCCGCTAGCAATATCTGTCACATAGTAGTTTTAATAAATTTCTACTCCCTTGATTTCGTAGCTGCGTTGGCTGCCGAGCGCGTTTCCTGTCCAGTCATCATACACTTCTTGCACCATCAAACAGATTAATGAAACTGGTTCTTCGCTTGATCACTCCACGCACTGTTACTAATAAGATATTAAAACCTTGCCTAGAAGCTGTGCGCATCTCTTGCTTACTTCCTGTAAAAAATCGTTTGCAACGCAGAGGACTTCTGTCAGTGTGATACGTACTATGGAACTGGCCGCCTCCATTTCGAATTATCTCTCGGTGCGATTGTTAGATTAGTCTATGGATTCTTCTACTTCCAGAAGTCTGCGTTCGGTTAACATCTCTACTCAAAATACACCGAATTCTCCATGCCAAAGTGTATGGTTTACTGTATTTCTATTCGGTGCTTTCATCTTCGCCAGCATTATTGTAGTCCCATATCCACTAAATGCTTGTGCAGTGGACCCATGCGAAATTGCTCCACTACTAATAAACGGTGGATCAGGCGAGTTACATCGGCGCTGCAGCTCTGCCTTTTCCGAGCTTCTTTTAGAAAGTTTTAAAGAACCTGCTCCAATTTCGGATAAGCACGGCGCCTTTCACCAGTGTATATTTACGTACATTCTTGAAATGCAGAATTCTGAAGAGCTCTGTAGCGCGCCATTAGCATATGACTCAGCGGTTGGGTATGCATTTCCAGCAGGTGCAAAATGTATTCCCTTACGCAACAATGGGCATCTGAGGCATCGCTAAACAGATCAACGCATGTGGTACATGGAGGCTAGCTGCTTGTTAAAGGCTCGTTTTGGTTTCAGTGTACAAACCTGCATCTATCTCTGTGCACTTTTCTAGCGTGGGTGCTTGGACCTTGCCATGGACCGCCTTTTATCCATAAGCCCACGCTTATTCTAATCACGTCACTTGACCTTTTACAGCACTATCATTCTGTCCTGTATATTGTCCCTTATTTCCCGTAAAGATGCGAGTAGCCTGGAGTAGCATTCAGGCTTTGAAGACCTATACTCCGTTTTGTTCTAGCCGTAAGTGTCTGTTAGTGAATGCGAAACACCTGGGAAGCATCCGCTTCAGTTTGCAACACAAGCATATTACCTTCGATTGACATATGTTCAACCAGAATTTTAAATCGCGCCTTCAAAGCACATGGCAGTGACAAGTGATTGCCTTTGACAGGTCGCAGCGCAAGCCCATGAAACTGTTGAGGCAGAGCATATGCAAGAAAAAAAACCCTCTGCTTGTGTCGACACCATCGAACTTTAGATGCGCATCTAGCGCATCTACGGGAACATCAATCGTGCTCTGTAATGAGGTCCGACTCACAGGACACGAAATTGATCCCCGGGTTGCTAGCCTTCTGCCTGTAATGGCATTTGTTGTACCTCTTAAGTGACTTTTGAATGACGCGTAGCATAGAATAGCAGCAAAGCCTAGAGCCATTGCTACGAATATGATGCCAAGTCTCGTCAGGGGTGAAGGAGTCTGTTGCGGGCGGCTCCTCAGTTCTTCTGATAGTTTAAGGTCTTGAACGGCAATATTTTCTCCGTCAAGAGGCGTGCTATGATTGAACTGCATTTCAGCTTCAACCGGAAGGCATTTACTTGTTGACACTGCGAAGAGGACTGCGACAGTAGATGTCGCGACTATTGAGCTGCGGATCATCTTGAGGAAGAAAGCAGAGGAATAGAAAACAAGACAAGAAAATTTAAAGAGAAGCTTGGTGACACTTTTTTCAGAAACTAGATAGGCGAGGGCTATTTCGAAGCTTTTTGGCTGAGCGATGCATGTCCGGACCGTGGACATCACTGCACTGCAGTGCCGAGAGAAGTGCCGTCTCAAGGCCAACAGTAACGACAGTTGGTATACAGCACGCAACAAGCGCAGAGCATGGCCATAATATCACTGGCTGCAAAGAATTGTTACTTAAGAAGCTACTCAACTCTTACACCGAACAGTGGGGATTGTTCTGCATCATGCTGTCCCAGGCACCATTATCGCCTTGCAACTCGTAAACAGGCCAAACCAGGAGACAAGGACCTTGAACGACAGGGATCAGGCCACAAAATGAGTGCTCAAACAACGAAATTTTATTCAAAATATTCAGCGTGCTTCGTGACAGTTATGATACTCACGGTGTGTTCTGCACAATCGGGTACAATCGAACCGCAGAATATTTACGGTGTGCCTTTCATGTTGACACCCTCGGGACGTAGCAAGACCGAAGAATCCTGCCGTTATAAAATGCACAGAATCATTAGATTTATCTGTAGCGAAGTAAACGAATAACTTGTTGGCGATTTGTAAATGTCCGTGAACACCGATGCTGCAAGCTGCTGCGGGTGTTGAGTGATCTCAATGAATGTTTTACAGAGCAATTGCAGACAATACGAGTAGACATGCAATTTTTTGCAAACTGTTTGAAAGGTCAACTTTTGGACACAAATAAAGCAAGTTCATGGGTGTCTTTCCTAGCTCAACTGAGTATTACTTTCCTATGGGGACTGGGGACTGCCCCAACTATCTCCCCGTCCCTACAGGCGGAAAATCTCGGAAAAGAGGAGATTCGATGAGCTATGCACTTCGGCCGAACCAGCAGCCGCTAAGATATGTGCATGTGTTTATGGTTTAACGGTTTGTTTTGAGAGTTTTTTCCGAACTATTTGGAACTGGGACTGGTGTGGGGAGAACAGGTTCTGCTGGCAACCGCAGCTGCGTCTCAAAATATGACGTCTGCAGGGGGTCTCAAAATTAATGGAATAAAGTTCTTATGGAGTAACTGTCATTTCAAATGAACTTTTTAAATTCCGAGCATGCCGAAACACAACAATTAAGTAGTGCGCTGCGGCTCTCTAGAAGACAACGTTAGAACCCCTCCCCAGTGGAACGAAATAGACGCCCAACGGCCACTCATATAAATTTTTCCCCTCCGTCCCTTTGTATGGCCCGATGTGCTGTCGAAGGGGGATTAAGACTCATTTACAAAGGTTAGATTTTGTTAGCTAGAAGGCTACGCACAAACGATGCTCTGAACTATGAGCCTCATTCTGGCCTTGGCAACATTGCTTAAAGGGACGCAACCCGCTGGGGAACCAGCCTCTCCACCAGTTCAGTCTCATTTTCTCAAAAAAAATGTCTTTTCGAACTCCTTCGCAAGTAACATGAATGGTGTTCAATAACGTTTATACGCCCCTTCAACAGTGATG